AAATGGAATGTCTGAATAGACTTTGTGTGAAGCAGTTACATCTCCTTTACATAAATGTATTAATGGGACAGATAATATGTCTGAATGGTACTGTAAAACAGAATGTATATAATTTCACCTGAAGGCCAGTTTTGATTAGACATGCTAAATGGGAACCACTAGAAGTGTCTTGAATTCACAGAAGTTAACGTGAGGCAATAAAGGAAACCTGGTAGACAAAAAGAGATTACAACTTTAATAACAGATCAGAGGCTAAACTGCTAGCACCAATGAATTCTCCATACAATAACCCTCTGTAGATTGTGAAGAAGTGGAGAGCAAATCAAGACTACCAGAGTATTACAGCTGGGGTACAGTAGTGCCACCATAGCATCAGCAGTCCCTGACAAGGTTTCAACAGAATAAAAAAATATATAGCAGGCTAAAGGAGTGTGGAATTCAGTAACTGATCTTGCAAATGTTTTCGTTTCTGCCTCAATGCCAAAAAAATGCTAAGAGCAATTTTCCTTCCTGTGTAAAGATGCCATAGTACATTTACTATACTGCCACAGGGTTATTTCCATTCACCAGTGTACTTGTATAATTTGGTTAAAAGGGATTTAGATTGGATGTAGGTCCTGTGTATAATAATACACTGTATCAATGAAATCATGACAATATCAGAAACTGAAGACAAAGGGAGGACTGACTTAAATGCATCGGTGACACACATGACTAACAGAGGCTGTTAATAAATCCAGCAAAGGTTCAAGAGCCTACGAATACCAATGACGTGCTCAGGAATAACCTAGGCAGCAGTCACCCTTGACATTCCACAGGTTAAAAAAAAAATCACTTTTGCTACCTACTTCTAGAACTAAACAAGAAGCCCAATTGTTTTTATGTATTTACTTGAAGCAAGCAAGATCTTTGTATGCATTTTCTCTTATAAAAACAGTATTTTGTTTTCAAATACACAATTATAAACTTGAGTTTGTTTTAACAATGTACTGGGAAACCGTGTCTACTGGGAGACTGATATTCCTGCTTTTAGAATGACATTTTACTGATCTTTCCATTTTCCATGAGAATTGCTATGTGAGTTTCTGTAGTTTGTATATTCACAGCTCCTGGCGCCTCTGTTAACATCCTAGTCTCTTTATGATGCTTGCTATAGCTGTGCATGATATAAACGGTAAAAATTATGTACTAGCCTTGAACCCTTTCTTGAAAGCAAGGATGTGTCATTTATGCTGTGTCCTCAATTTTATGGCTGACACATACAGTAATCAGTGTGTTGTGTTGACTGTGGTGCTACATTTTAGTTCCTAACTTTAACTTCTGCATGTTAGTTACCTCAGCAGGTTTATCTGTTTTTGTAGGTGCTAGAACATTAGCCGATTACAGCACGGATGAGCTTTCTTCCCACACTAACATGAATGGGGGCAGGCCATGTCTGAACTGCAAAAACTAGTCTCTCTCCAGATGCTTTTGGGCCCCTATGGTCCACACTCAGACATGATTTTGGAAGTGTCAGCTACATGGATTATGCAGCCTGGATGGAGTTCATGGCAAAGGCCTTTGAGAGCTACTCAGCAGCTCTCCACTGGGATTTTTGACCAGAAAATTTCCGGATGCTTTGGTAAATATACGCTATTTAAGAGCAAATTACTGGCTTGCTTTTAGGCATTAATTGAGACTGACTCTATGACTGAAGAACATAAAATAACCCTGAAACCGGAAATACTCATGTCTTGGTTGGAGGTACACTCTAATAAGGAAGGCAGTGCCCAGAATAGTTCCGTGCAGGACCATGCAACCAGGAGGATGCAAAGACTATTTATGGCACTTAGGAGCAGGTAGCTAGCCTCTTTTCCCTTAAGCATGACTTTGGAACCACTCGAGGCGCTGCTGAGTCCTATCATTGCACAGGTGATGCCCTATGAACAGCTCCCTATTAACCAACAGACAACTGCTTCATTTATGAATAGCAGTTCCAAGGTGAGGGTTCAGCTTCTGTCTGGAAATCTACCACTCTAACTGAAGAATGTTAGAGCAAATCATATCAATGAGCTGAACTGCATGCTGTTGTCCCCTATGTTTGGGTTTTTACTGAACTCTGCAACTGTTTTAAGAAATGAGGGTGGTTTTGTGGACTGTTTCCCAACTTCATACAGAGGATGAAGAGAAAGACTCTGGTAAGACTCAATAAAGTATGCTATACTGAATGAACACTCTAAACTTTGACTATGGGGGAACCACTGAAGGGTGCTTTAAAGAAGGTAGTGTGGGGGGACCTCTATACCTTAGCAAAACAATCCTGGCAGCACTGTGGACAGAATGAATTTAACACGGTAAACCTCAAAGCAGCCAGACCAATTATAAATGTGGTGCAGTGACAGACAGCCAGGCTTTTAATTCCAGTGACATGGGTTCTACGACAGTCTATCCAGGAAATGTATAAAGTGTGAAATAAAGAAAAGGGAGGAAATAGTCAAAAGATTATCAGGACTTGGATATAGGTGGTCAAGGAAAATCACAAAGAAAAGGATCCTGGTTAAAGTTTGAGAGGGGCTGTTGAAGCTATTCTTTCATGAGAAAAAGGACACCATCTTCCTGTTCTTTTTGCTTATCACCATCAATTTAAAAAGCCGCAAGAAACTTAAGATTTCTCAAAGATCTGACTACAGCTTTGAGAAAGTTCATCTGATGTCTCACTGAAATTATTTTAAAACAATTAATGTAAGATTTGGCCCTGAGGTAAAGGCAGCCACAAGATTAGTAACCTGAAATAAAACGTTAGCCCACCTGCAGGTAAAGTGAAATATTCTGGACCAAATTAAGGATATAAAAACTTGAAGTAGATTTCTAAACACATGCTCTGTCAAACAGTAAGAGCAGTCTTGAACAAAGGGCTTTTCCTTTATTTATGGTCAATTTTGAGAGATTCCATATATTGTATTCACAAACTGCATTCTATACTCCATATGGGAGAAAATAAGCCTATGAGCTAAAGTAGGTCTGGAGTATGAGCACCCGTGTTCAAATTCTGGCTCTACCACTTACAATGAGACCTGGAACAGATCACTAAAGCTTTGTGGGAGTAGACTCCCTCTCCTTACAGTCATGATACTAGTACCAACACTTCATGGATAGTTGGTGTGAATTAAACCAACATGCACCATTCAGAAAAGTGCCTGGCACAAACTAGGGACTAATGTGTCCCCTCTACTTTAAGAGAATTCTAGATGAATTCCAATGAATCTAACAAATTCAAAGCTCTAAGACATCTTACAGTTAAGAAACATATTTAAATATGGTTGCTCAACTTAACCTACTCTTCTTATGGCAGGAGATTCATAAAACTGATTTTCATCAATTAAACAGAACTACTCTAAGAAAAACACTTTAGAAAATGCTGCATAGGTAAGCATGGCCATCTTTTTAACTGTAATAAATAGGCATCATAGCAACTGGGAAATTTACTAGAGGATTCTGTTACACAACTGACTAAAAATTTCAGTACATTTCCAGAACAGTTAGAATGTAATGGAGTGGTGATAAATGATTGTTGAATTCTGAGGGTATAACAGGGTTGATATACTAAGCTATTTCTTAAGGAATCAGTAACTATTCTTACTTAGTTGCTTTGAATCTCTAGTTTTTCTACAAAGTATAGTATCTAACATGAAATCAGCATATTTATGTTTTGTTAAAATGGGTACCATTTATCCATACCCATGGGAATACCACAGTTTTAGGTGACAGCTCACAGCCTAAATAATACAGTGTTGGGAAACGCCCTGTCTGGTTTCAGAGACTGTAGCTTCACCGTCAAGCAAGAGGGCCCCAAGCCTGGAAATAATCAAGGAGGCCCTGGGAAAACAGGCCACTGAGGAGACGAAACCTGTCCCTCTGGCAGGGGTTGCACTTCACCCTGCTTGGCCCGTGATGGTTGGTAGTCGATGCTGGGTAAGACTCCTCAAGAGGAGAAACAATCTTAAGACAGACACAGCTGATATGGGCAGCAGACAAGGACTTGCTTGAGGAACACAGAGAAAGGGCAAAAAGGCCCACACCCCTCGGCTTGGTTTGGACATGGCCAGAGTCCTCATTCTATCTGAAAGAAGTCTCTTTGTCTCTTGGTGGCTCTGCCCCACCCGCCTGGCTCAGGCTTGAAACAATACTTAAGGCAGGTACAGCCCGAAACTGCATAGGGTGGCTGGGGGGCAGGAAAAGGATCAGGCCTAGTAGTAAGTTCCTCTAAGCATGCTTTGTTCTTTCCTCAAAAGCTATGATAACGGGTTCTTACTGGGAAGGAGATTTACATTATGCAGAGACCCCTCCCCCACCTCAAGCATATCTCCTGTGTTCCTTCATTATTATCTATGATCTCTATCTGTTTTCTGTAAACATAGCCTTTTGACATTGATTGATGAGCTTTGCACTCATACCTCTGTGCATATGGTTCTCAATAAAAGCCTTCGGATACGGGGACTCAGGGGGCCTTCTCCACTAGAGGGAAGAGGCATGTCCCTTCTCCTGGCAAACAGAGAAGTGTTTGCGATGACTTGTGTTTATTCCCTCATCCATGACAACCCCAGGATGGGCTCTGCGGGATTCAGAGCCCAGCTCCCTCCTCAGCTGGCTCCGAACAGTAACCCTCAGATCCAGGAGCACCCCGCATGGTGCTCCCCGCACCAGATGGCGCCCGAACAGGGACGACACAAGTGCTTGAAAAAATAAGTGTATCTGAACCAAGGAAAAACAAAGAAATACAACTCCATTCTTACAAACCCAAACACTTATAATACATTTTTAACAAATCATAAGACTATTATTTGATATGAATGTGGAAATCATTAAATAACTTATCAAAAACATATTTTAAGAAATATACAAAATTGAGAAAATGCTAACAAACAAAAATATGGAGTACATATTTGCTTTAGGAAGAATAAATAAGAACTTTTTAAGAACTCTTTATAATATTTCTTGATAAGCAATTATGATTTCTGTACCTATGTTCTTTGTGTTCCAATAGCTGACAGTCTCTACATGTCAGTCTATCACATGTTTCACAGAAAAGTTTCAACTGTTCTTGTTTGTGTACAGGGCAGAAAACAGGGCGCTGACCAGATGCTCCAACAGACTCTGTAGTAAAATAAAACATATATTTTTAAACTAAACAAAACTTTTGTCTAACTTTCAAAATTTTCATTGAAACTGGTATCCAAAGCTTATAAAGAATACGCAGAGATGCTATAGGGGCAAAAGAGGGAGATTAATAGTAATCATTAAAACTGCTTCTATCTTACCTGAGACATCTTCTTTCTTCCTGATCAAGTGATCTTTAGTGAATTTTACTCTTTGATGTGCTTCAATACATGTCTTACATAGCCACTCTCCACATTCTACACAAAAGCCAACTGCACTTGCATTGTCTTCACAACTAGTACATACCTAAAAAAGGAAATAAATACTAATCTACATTAAATTTACAAAATAGAGATCAACAAAATAAAAAGGTGAAAACTACCTAACTTGCTTCCAAATATACTAATTCACTGTACCTAGAATAAAGTTATTTTGTTAACCATTTATCTGTAATCAAATCCTTTTCTTCCAGATCAAACATTCTGGTAGATAAAAATCTGAATCTCAGAACACAAAATCTATATAAGATTTCAATTATTCAGTAATGATCTTTTGTCTTATTTAGCCAGATCTCAGAGAATGTAGAAGATATCCTTTATTTTCAATTTGAAAAACGAAACTAGAGCAGAACTAGTCTAATTTATGTAACAATCCAAACATGTTTTTCTAATAATCTACATTTTGATATCAAGATAGGAATATAGAGAAAAATTGAGAAGCATACCTGTTCTGATTTCTCATCAGAACTGCTAGGAGCTTCAGATGTATCTTTCACAAAATAATTATCCACAAGGTCTATCTGTCTGCATTCTTGGCGGCATACTGGGCACCGTATTACACCAACTACAACACAAAATGACAACATTAAGAAATATTTTTCAGGAAAATTGTTCATGATGCCCATATGAAAACTACTCATTCAATATGTTACAGACAAGACTAAAGGAATAAATGAGCATTAAGAGCTGAGTAAAATAATCCACTGAGTTATTCCATTGGGGAAAAATATTATATCCAATTTAGGAAGAGAGAGCAAGTATACGCAAAAAAAAAAAAAAAAAAAGGTTTAAAACTGAATCTTTATCACAATATGTGGTTGGCTGAGCAACCGGTCCCAAAAGATATCCAGAAGGTTCTACCCCTTGGAAAACCTATCAATGTCACTTTATACAGCAAAGGGACTTTGTTAGATGTGATTAAATTAAGGCTCTCAAGATGGAAATGTCTTGGATTACTTGATGGACCCTAAATGCCATCACAAGTGATCTTTCAAGAAGGAAGCAGAGGAATATTAGAATACAAAAAAGGAGAAGCAACTGATAATGGAAGCTTTCAAGATGGAGCCACAAGCCAAGAAATACGGGCAGCCCTATTAGCTCAAAGAGACAAAGAAACAGATTCTTGCCTCAGAGCCACCAGAAAGCACCAGAGCTGCTGACACTTTGACTCTGCAAGACACTCCGATTGTAGCCCACCAAAAATGAATTCAAACTTTTAGCCTCCAGAATAGGAAGAAAATAAAATGTATTGTATTAAGGCCCCAAGTGAATGGCACAATCTATCATCTTATAAATTCTGACTTGGTTCAGAACTGCTTAAATTCATGCTAGTGTGGGAAGAAAGCTCATCCGTGCCGTAATCGGCTAATGTTCTAGCACCTACAAAAACAGATAAACCTGCTGAGGTAACTAACATGCAGAAGTTAAAGTTAGGAACTAAAATGTAGCACCACAGTCAACACAACACACTGATTACTGTATGTGTCAGCCATAAAATTGAGGACACAGCATAAATGACACATCCTTGCTTTCAAGAAAGGGTTCAAGGCTAGTACATAATTTTTACCGTTTATATCATGCACAGCTATAGGAAGCATCATAAAGAGACTAGGATGTTAACAGAGGCGCCAGGAGCTGTGAATATACAAACTACAGAAACTTACATAGCAATTCTCATGGAAAATGGAAAGATCAGTAAAATGTCATTCTAAAAGTAGGAATATCAGTCTCCCAGTAGACACGGTTTCCCAGTACATTGTTAAAACAAACTCAAGTTTATAATTGTGTATTTGAAAACAAAATCTGTTTTTATAAGACAAAATGCATACAAAGATCTTGCTTGCTCAAAGGAAATACATAAAAACAATTTTTCAAATCAAAGGAAAGGTGAGAAGGGGAAAAAGAATATAAATATTTTTACATTTGAAATGGCTTGAGTTAAAAATCTTTCAAGAGATAAAGAGTACAATATAACGACATAGGAAATAAGTGTAAGTAATTATAGAGGCAGAAATAAGTGAGCAATTAACTCTCACACCGTGAACCAGGCAAGATTTCACTGAAGAGGCGACACTTAAATACGGTCTTGGGGGATTAACATGCATTTACTAACATGCAAGAAAGAGTTCACTTGGCTGGCCTACGTTCCTCAAGCCCTGCACATTCCCGGGAAGGCTGTCATCAATACTGGCCCTTGACTGGCTTCTGGGAGACGACCTCTGAACTCTTGGAACATTATGCTTGATAAGCCTGTTTTTGTATGCCTGAGACCTTGGGCCACACTGTATTCAGTATGACCTCTGGGGATGGTTGGAGTCCAAGTACGGTGGTGTCAGTTCTGTGAAGGCTGCACCCTACGTGACTAACCACCCCCACCACCACCCCCCAAGAAAAACCCTAGACATGAAGCTCATGTGAGCTTCCCTGGCTGGCAGTACTCCTGCATACTGACATACACTGTTCCCGGGAGAATTAAGTGTCTCCCTGTGCAACTCCACTGAAAGGAGATACTTAGAAGCCTGTGCCTGCTTCCTCCTGGACTCGACACCATGCACCTTTTGTCTTTGCTAACTTTAATCTGTATCCTTTCACTGTAATTAAACATAATCATGAGTCTAATAGTTTTTCTAAATCCTTTGAGTCCTAGCCAATCATTGACCCTGATGGTGGTCTTGGGGATCCCTAACTCAACTAGGAAAGGAACAACATGAAAACCAAGAAGAGCCGGTGCAGAGTTCAGAAATGGCCGGGGGGGGGGGGGGGGGGCGTGCGGGGGGCGCCTGGCTAGCCCTGGCCAGCACGGCTCAGTTGGTCAGGCATAGTCCCGCAAAGCAAAAGGTTGCCAGTTTGATTCCCAGTCAAGGCACATACCTGGGTTGCGGGTTTGGTACCCTAGAAGGCATGTGCGAGAAGCAATCTATCAATGTTTCTCTCTCACATCCATTTTTCTCTCCCTCTCCTTCTCCCTCCCTCCCCTTCTCCCTCCCTTCCCCTCTCTCTTAATAATTTTTTTTATTTTTTTTTTAAGTATAGGAGGCTAACAGCCCTGGCTGGTGTAGCTCAGGAGACTGAGTGCCAGCCTGCAAACCAAATGGTCACTGGTTCAATTCCCAGTCAAGGCACACGCCTGGGTTGTGAGCCAGGTCCCTGGTGGAGAGCGTACACATTAATATTTCTCTCCCTCTTTTTCTCCCTCCCTTCCTCTCTCTCTAAAATAAATAAATAAAATCCTAAAAACAAATATAGGAGGCTACAAAAAAGAAATATAACTTTACATATAAGTTGGTGTATACATGTAATTTAAAAAGTTAAGAAATTTGCAACATCGAAATTAAAGAATATTTTTGCAGGATACAAAAGATGGAGAGACATTCTGTTCTGAGCAAGAAAAGACTCAATATTATAGAAGTATGCATTATACCTGTATAAATGAGTGATTTAATGCAAATCATACCAGTTGTTTTGGGGTATTTTTGAACTCAGTAAGTTAACTGTGAGTCTTAAAACTTCTACTTTAATCTGGCAAGCTGACATCACAGTAAATGACAAATTCACCTTTTTCTCATTCCAAATACCGATTAAAAGAACATTAAGGAATTTGGAAGATAAACACAATATCCAAAACTTTCAGTGGAGGAAGGGACAAGGCACAGAAATTGCTTGAATGCAATTTCAAGAAATGTAGATGCAAAAAGGTATCTGAACATTGCAGAAGAAACCCAACCCAGAGTACACAAGACTGGGGGAGTACATCTGAGAAAGACTCTTATGTGCCATAAAGATTTTCAGAGAAGTTTAATTCAGAAATTTGAGGCATGAAATAAGTCCCAGTGAGAGACAGAAAGGGAAAAAGTCTGTAGACATCAGCAAACCCCACTCCTATGGTGACTATTTATGTCAGATTACCCAGCAATCAAGGTGTCTCACCACCAAGAAAAAAAAGAGTTAAAGCTTCTTTAGGAACTTTTTGCTATCTGCTCCCATCTCTACCCATAAATTTTAAAGTTATACAAAAGTTTGCTTTAAAAATGAGAGCCATTTACCATTTGAACTTAGGAGCAAGTATGCCCTGGTAGTAAGTGTAGCTCAGGTAAGAGTGCTTCCGAGTCAACCTCTCTTGGTGCTAGTTGTCATGGTAAGTTTTGATGATTATATAATACTGAAACCCAACTCCACAGCCAAAGCTTCTGACCACTTTTACGTATAATGTTCCTAGAACTGATTTAACTACTTCAAAGGTCAAGTTTTGAGAGTCCCATTCATGTCTATTAGATTAATTTCTTTTAAATGCCAATTTACTAAAATGTATAATTATAGGGAAGGGCAGGGAGTGAGGGAGACTTTTTAAAATGCCTAAATACACACGTTTACAAACTAATTTATCTCCACAGTGTTAAGTGGACTTTAGTTTCAGCAAAGTGACTGGTGGACTTCCACTCAAGATGGATGACTAAGTAGATGTGGGAAAGACCACCTGACCTCCAACTCAAACACAGAAATGGCTATAAAATATAACAAAGTGTAGTATGACAAATATGTAACTAAGGAGGCAAAGTTTTCAAGTGCCAAAAACAAAAAAGGAAAACTCAAAACCCAAGTGGTGAGGCACTGATGCAGGTGGGCCACAGGGCTGACCAGTACACCGCTGTTGGGAACAGGACAAAGGTTTAAAGGCAAAAAAACTGAAGTCCCTTAATAAAGCCATACAGCAGGTTCAAATCCATGTCATCCCTTGAGTAATTCACAAGAAGTCAGAACACCAAACAAGCTTTATGTACAGATATATAATCAAAGTGTATATTATCGGAATAGAAGGCCAAGTCAAGAAACTAAGAAGAAGCTTGTCTGGGAGGTTCCAGTTTGGTGAACTTGTGAAAACTGGGAGAGAATGGCACAGCACGCTCAGAGGGCACCAAATCTCCGTGCCCTTTCCCACATACCTTGCCTTATGCACCTCTTCCATCTGGCTGTTTCTAAGCTATATCCTTTTCAAATAAACAGGTACTGCCCTGGCCAGATGGCTCAGGTGGTTGGAACGTTGTCCTGATGCACCAAGGTTGCAGGTTCAATCTCCGGTCAGGGTACAGACAAGAAGCAACCAATGAATGCATATGTAAGTGGAACAACAAACCAGTATGTATGTGCACATCTCCCCTTCCTCTCTCCAATATAAATAAAGATAAATAAATAAATAAATAAAATATTCAAACAGACAGGTACTCTATCCAGTGGTTAATGACTTGGGAAAGTTCATATAAGGATGTGACCTGCAGCCCTGCATCTTCATGTCCTGACACCAGTGTTGCTGAGACTTCAGAGACACTGAATGGAAAACTGGGAGTAAATCTACTATAAACCAGAAGGAACCCAAAGAATCCAGTCCATACTATTGGTCATCTTCCCCAAGGCTGAAGTCAATGTTTCTCTTTACTTTTCTACCCTAAGTTCAAGTTCTAATTTAAAATCTCATTTTCCCCTGACTGGCGTGGCTCAGTGGACTAAGTGCTGGCCTGTGAACCCAAAGGTCGCCAGTCTGATTCCTAGTCAGGGCACATAGCTGGTTGC